TGGAGCAAAAGCAATGCTTCTGGAAGCAGTCCAGATAGGCACCTGGGGACAAGTGGGACCAGGTAAAGGGGAGATTGTCTACTTTGGGAATTAAAAATTGAAAAGACAGTGTTGGGGTTGTCAATTTTGCTGGAACAAGGGCGATGGTTCTGGAAGCAGTCCAGACGGCCCTCGGGGGACACATGGATTCAGGCAACATGAGGTTGTCTACTTTGAGAAGTCAACACTGAGGTCAAAGACAGTGTTCAAATTAGCAATTTTGCTGGAGTAAGGACAATGCTTCTGAAAGCAATCTGGATCTCGCTCTAGGAACACGTGGCTTCTGATAACAAGAGATTGCTCACTTTTGGGAAATTAAAAACTGAAACAAAAAAGGCAATGCTGGGGTTTTCAATTTTGCTGTGGCAAAGACAATACTTCTGGAAGCAATTTAGATTAAATCTCTGGGTAAAAAAGTGTTCAGGCAATGGGACATTATCTACTTTGGGAATTAAAAATTGGAACAAAAGACAATGTTGAAATTTTCAATTTCAGTAGGGCCAAGAGCAATGCTTTTGGAAACAGTCTAAAATCGCCTGCTGAGGCAAATGGTTCGGATAAGGGAAGATTGTCCACTTTGGTAATTCAACATTGAAACAAAACACGGTATTGAGGTCATCGATTTTTCTGACAGAAGGGCGATGCTTCTCGAAGCAATTTAGATTACTCTCTGGGTAAAAAAGTGTTCAGGTAATGGGATGCTATCTGCATTGGGAATTAAAAATTGGAACAAAAGATAATGTTGGGATTGTCAAGTTTGTTGGAACTAGAGCAATGCTTCTGGAAGCAATCGGGATTACTTTCTGAGAAGCAAATAGCTTCAGGAAAATAGAGATTGTCTACTTTGGAAATGCAATATTGACCAATGATAATATTATTGCTCATGATCTTCATGAGGCAAAGACAATGCTGCTGGAAACACTTCAAATTGGTTCCAGGAGCAAATCATATTGCAAGAAAGGACTTCACGGGTTTACAACATTGATAGATACAATACAGTTTATTATTGTTTTTGATTTTAATAGAGCTAGCTCCTCGGAGCGATTCTGTGGCAAATGAGACAAATGGCTTCGAGAAAATAGAGACTGTTTGGTAATTCAATATTGATGAGGATCGATAATGCTATTATTATTTCTCTCGATTTTCATGAAATCACTACGGCATTCCTGAGAACAATTGAAGCCAGGGACGAATGACTTTACAAGGAACTTCGGACTTCGGTAAAAAATGAAAGTCTTCAGAAGAAAAAGGATTCCGAAGAAGAATTGAATTTTTAACAGAGGTACAAAAGCGTTTATGGTTGCTCGTGATTTTAATAGACCTAGAATGGTGCTCCTTGGAGTAATCTAGATTGCCTCCCTGGGGCAAATGAGCTCAAGGACAAAGGAACTCTCTACTGTGAGTTCTCAACACTGATAGGAGAATCGAAGATATTATTATTGCTTTTGATTTTGACATAACTAGAGCAACGGCGCCTAAGATAATCTGATTGGTCCCTTGGGGCGAACGGTCTCAGAAAATAGAAATTCTTTAATGCGAGAGTTTCTAATATCTACAGGAACAGGAAACGCTATTTTTATCGCGATTTCAACGAAGCCAGATCAGCGCTCTTTAGGGTAACCCGTGGTTTTATCTATTCCAAATGCTACAATTAGGCAAGAAAATGAAAAGTGTCTCGAACAAGAACTTGAATATAAAAATCTGGAAACACTAATTCTTATTTGAAACGGTAGAAAGGCAAAGAATCGATGTCGAGGCATTGCGATTCATTTGTTCGCATGCCTTTCGATTAAAAAATCGTATTAAAAAGATGTTAGAAAATTGTGGTATTGAAAGATCATTATACGACAGCGACGGTTAAAATAAGCTCGTCTCGGTTCTAACATCAAATTTGAAATATTGTATGCAATCAGCATAAAAATGTTACAGCTACCACGTTTTTACGTATTCGGAGAAAAGATTGCCGGATTTAATATTTCAGAAAGAGCTTCGACAGCCTTAGTGGGAAAGTACGATGGTATATACGGCCTGAAATTATTACTTATCGAGATATTATTAGAACTTTCACTGGAGGCGGTGCTTCGAGTACTGGCCGTTATAGTTAATACAAGCATGCTATCGTCCCATAAACGATAGGTTTTATTAAAAATATCCCCCACCCCGTAAGTACTAGGTCATGTGGAATTTAACTGCCGTTTCCAGCGCTATCGTCGCATGTATTTCGAACAATAAAACTATTTCTGTTCTTCTCTTTGTATTCCGACCTAATTCGTGTCAACGATATTCTAATATTTCTCCGTCAAACGATATCTGCGAACACTGTATAAATAAATGTTAAAACAGTTAAATATTAAATATTATTAGTTATTATTTATTATTATTATTAATATCATTATTATTAATATTATTATTATTATTAACGATTAAATATTAAAACATTAAAACATTTATTAATTAATTTACTTTTTTTGTAAATTTAATTATTTTGTACTAAAATTAATTTAGAATAAAATTGTCAATAATAATGTGAGAAAATTTCCAATCAAGTGACATTTTTGTAACAAAATCGATTTTATAATTCGTGTTTTTATGTTTAATTTTATCTTGGATCATTTTTCAATTTCGTGTTGTGTGTCCTCGTTGATCTGTTTGGGCTCGGTGATTTGTTCGTTTTTCTTTTGAGTTTGCATTTCAAGTTCCTGGACACCCCGTATAATAATCGGTGTTTAGAATACCATGAAAGGACTCGAATACCGCAGGTAGACGAACGACTGCCTCTCGAGCAGAGATCCGTATACCTGGTCTACGACAGATACACCTGTTGGGTCAACGAGTTTACGGCAGGCGGCGTGACGACTTGTCAGACAGAAGCTCGGTCAAGTGTGTCAGAAGTTCGGCGAAGTGATTGCACGAAAATCGTCCAATTAACAGCGCCAACATGGAAAACCTCTGCGTTCCGATCCGCGTCCTTTTTAAGAAGGTTCCCGACTTCGACGGCGGAATGGAGACGGGCTGCCTTCGGTGATCCTTTTAAAACGGTACCACTGAACGCATCGATTTCAAATTTTACTGATCTATACAAGAACAATCCAAGATTTCACGGTATTTCTTTCGTGTAAAGATATTCATATCGATCGAAAGATATTTCTTAAAATTGTTATTCGCATACGAATTGCGTGAAGATCGTTGGAACGATAAGAAGTAGGTGATTTTGGTAATTTTTTAAAGAAGCGCAGCAGATGGTATCGTTCTGAAATTTTTATGACTTGTTAACGTATACTTGAAGAGTATGCAGTATTTTTTCTTCGTGTAAACATTTTAATTTACGTATCGATTAAAAAGTATTTTTAAATGTCGCTATTTCAATGTATAAATGGATTAAAAACTATCGAAAGCTAAAACCGGGTTGGCTTTGGTAATTTTTGAAAGAAAAACTATGGCAGATATCGCTTTCAAATTTTGTACATCCGTCAATGCGTATTTCGAGAATGTACAGTATTATCTTCACACACACATGAAAATATTTTCATTTATACACTACTCAAAAAGATATTTGTAAATACAGTCTAAAAAATGGCGCATTTTCAACGCGCAATGACCTATAATATATTCTCGTCAGCAACCTTTGCAAATAAATTCCTGCGCGTCACCATCGATTCATAAATACTCCTCCACGCCATAGTCAGATAAAAAAATTTAGTTCTTCATTGACTATGTATGTGTTCATTCATTTTTCCATGCATTCCAATCCTCCTAACATTACGTAGGCCGCACGAGAAAAGATTAAGTAACGCCCAGTTCATTGAATAATAATTTCTCTTCAAGACCAATGATTGCTACACTGGAATCATTCACAGTCCGATAGACTGCCTCCGAGGAATCAACCTAAAAGGCGAATTCAATTCGTTTCACGATTGTCTATCGCTTAATGTTTGCCATTGTAGCCTCAGTGAAAAACCGCATTAATATACGGTGACCTAAAATGTAACATTCGCGTCGATGATATTTTGAAACACCATGATGATGCGCGATTCAATCACGATAATATTAAATATCCAGATATATTTATATCTCTATAATTGATTCTGATATCTTCTCTGATATCTTTCTGATATCTCTGCAATTGATTTATACCTCTGCAATAAATTTTTAATTTTTATGTTGAAAATTTTGCGTGCAAAAAATTAAAAATAACGATAAGATTCTACGAAATGCAGATTTTGTATGGAAGTTCACGAACGAATATTGTTTACACTTTTGCAATAACAATATAACTTCATAAATGCCGTTCTTGAATTTGTTCAGAATTTTCAATCCAGTGCAACATTGTTTAAAAAAAAACAAAAACTAAATTCTTTTCGCACAAAAAATGAGTGCAATGTTTACAAGCCTCCCTAATTTATTTGCTCAGGAATGTTTTTAAATATATAAATTCATAAAATCTACATATATATAAAAATATTACAGCATCAATATACAGTCATAAGTGTCGTCCTCGAATTTTTCCAGAATTTTCACTAAAGCGTATAAACGAAGCAACATAATCGCATGACAAATTAATGCAGAATCAATACGTACATACCAAAATAATTGTTAAATACTGAAATTCAAGTTCTAATACGTTTTCGGCTACATTAACAAAAGAATTCGTTGCGAGACAATTATTTTGTTTAACAGTGCTATTATTTATAAATACGGGATCGTAAACGATCGAGCACCGGGCAACGCGAAAGCATTATATTTCGGCAGAAATATTTTTGATAGCCCGTAGAGCGACCGACCGCGTCCTTGGAGTCCCTTCAAGGTCCTTCAAGGCCCTTCCCCAGTCCGCAGAAAGGGTAAAAAGAAAAGTCCGGCGGTTTAATGGCGAGCCGGCCAGCGATGGTAGCCGCCGTCTAATTTATTCGGCCTATATTCACCGTCGATTAGCCGGACGGCCGAGCGGAGAGCGTTACACTTACGATGCATAAGGTTCCTCCAGCTGCCATAAATCGCCTGGATGCACTTATCGAGAGGAGTAGCGGACAGCGGTGCGGCAGTCGTTTTGCGCGCGGCCAAGTTGCCCTCGGACCGGCTGCGGAACAAATTGCCGGTTCCTATCGCGAGGATCGGCCTGTCGCTGATGTCCCCGGTGTCCCTGGGACACTGTCTGCTCCTGGACATGTCGAAGATCCCGGCCGGCAGCCAGGCCTCGACCGCCGGGTCCCGAAAGCTCTTGTACGTCGAGGACAATTTCTTCGAGGACTTCTGTAGAAAGCGCTTGCCGGGCGGCAAGGGCGGGGGGCCCAGGCAGCTAGCGACGGCGGTGATCGCCATTTATGGTTCAGCTTACGCTCCTCTGGTCGTCGCGGGCTCTGCGCTCGAGCTCCGAACCCTCCGACATTCGTGCACCACCCTGTGCACCGTTCCAAAAATCTTCCATTCAGGTGTTCTTTTTAATTCACGACTCTATTCAGACACTCTTGCTCGGTTCTTCTTAGCAGATTCTTGGGCTTGTACTTTTGGGCATGTTGCTGGTGTGTGTAGACACTTAGGGGGATATGGGCATCGTTAATATAATGTTGGGGGATGCTTTGTGTTGTTTCGTTTGAGATTTATTGTCTGGGAAGTGCGCGTGCTAGGGTAAAAGTCGGGGTTTTCAGGTTTTAGAGATTATGATTTGAAATTTGGCCTCTTAGATCAAGATAGGGGATGGAAATTATTACTAGTAAAATTTTAGGGGATGTTTTACGCTCGTTTGCTTCAAATTTGTAGTCTGGAGTGTATATATTAAGGTAAAAGTGGGGCTTATCCAGTGAATTTTCAGATTTTAGGGATTACAGGTTGATGTTGGTGCTCTTAGACCAAGATAGGGGGTGAAGATTGTTACTAGTAAAATTTTAGGGGATGTTTTACGCTCGTTTGCTTCGAATTTGTAGCCTGGAGTGTATATATTAAGGTAAAAGTCGGGCTTATCCAGTGAATTTTCAGTTTTTAGAGATTATAGGTTGATGTTGGTGCTCTTAAATTAAGATAGGGGATGTAAATTGTTAGTAGTAAACTTTTAGGGGGTGTCCAGTGAATTTTCAAGTTTTGGAGGTTATGATTTGAAATTTGGTCTCTTAGATCAAGATAGGGGATGGAAATTGTTACTAGCAAAATTTTAGGGGATGTTTTACGTTCGTTTGCTTCAAATTTGTAGCCTGGAGTGTATATACTAAGGTAAAAGTCGGGGTTGTCTAGCGAATTTTCAGTTTTTAGAGATGATGGTTCCAAGTTGATACTCAAGAGGCCAAGATAAGGGATGGATATTGTTAGTAGCAAAATATTAGGTCATGTTTAAGTTGTTTCGTTTGAGATTTATAGTCAAAAATTGCATATGCAATGGCAAGAATAGAGGATGTCTAATGAATGTTGCATTTTTGTAAATTTCAGTTTAAAATTCCGACTCTTAGACCAGGGTAGAAGATGTCTATCAATATCTAACTAATCTAGAATCTTTGGAGTTCTTAATCTGTGATGCATACCCCAAAAACTCTTAGCTACTGGAGTTCTAGGATCTTTATTCTGAGATACATATCCCAAGACCAAACAAGGAATGTGAACAACAGAGAGCTGAACATGAATTGTTGGTCCTAAATCAGGTTGAGTTAGAAAATTCTGTTTTTTTTATCTGAAATTGATGTACGAAGTTCAAAGTGCCTATACTGAAATTCATATTCTAAATTAAAGCTTGATAAAAAAATGTCTGAAAACTACAAAATTTAAGGCCACATTCCAAGATAAAGTTTTACACTGAGAAAAATAGGACGTGTCTAAGAAACGTTCAATTTTCCAAAGCAGAGATAGAGGATGTCTGATGAATTCAAAAATTCTAGAATCTAGTTTTGAGGATCGTACCCTAAGACTTTAACAGATCTTTGAACCTAGACCGTAGGATCAAGCTAACCGATGTTTAACTCAACTGCAATTAGGGGGTTCTTAACTTGAAATTTATATCATATATAAATAGTAAAAGGAGGCTAAAATCGTGAAATGTTTCGCGATTGCAGTCCCTAATATCAAACTAGCTTCTGCCTAGCCAAGATATGTACAATGATTAGTGTTCCTAGACTGAGGTTCATTCCTACAAGTAAAGGTAGAATATTTTTACAATTGCCAAGACAAAATAGCTATTTTTATAATTTACAGCCTATGTCCAAGCTAGGTGGTCTAATTTAAAAAAAAAAAAAAACAAATTTTAGCGTCCTCAACCTAGAATTCTCGTACCCTAAAACAAAGATACAAGATGTCTACAAGCGTCCTACCAATGTGAAGCGTCTAAAATACACAATTTTTCAAGTCCACGCCCAAAAGTCAATCACACGATGTGTCTAAAAATCGTCCAATTCTTAATCCTTAATACAAAATTCTTAGATCTCCATACTCCGTGAAATCCGTAGGATCACGACAGAGGATATCTCTACCAAAGTTCAATATTCCCCATGAAACCCCAAAGAACCGAGCAAGAATTCCACTCCTGTAACCAATTCAGCCTACCGGTGCACGACGATTCTTCCCGAACGACTCGAATCTGAGGAGTCCTTCAACCCTGAATCCCACAGAATATCTCTGGAAGTTGGAGTCGGTTTTCGAGACCTCGATCCACTGTCGCGGTAACACGCCACAGTTCTCCAGCACTCGCGCGTAAACCACGATCCTCCCGTCGAATAATCACTGAACGAATAATCCAGCGTGTCCCGTGGATCGTCTAAGGGCACCTCGCGGGACCACGCCGAGGACGGAAATCTCGGGAGATCGGGTCCGAGGTGAACGATACGCGAGACTGTCAAAAAGGCTCGCGTTGTCGGGTACAGGTTCGGGTTGGCGACAGCGTCGGGGACTCGGGTGTTCTGGCGAATGCAAAGAGGCGAGGTCGAAGGTGGGTGGACGAGTTTCCGGAGAACGGCGTAGGTCGCCCCCGGTAATGCTTCCATGCGTAGGTATCCGAAAGCGCGACACGTGAAACAACTTTCCACGTGGAAATATTAAAAGGTATTGCCCACAGAAATAGATCCACGAGCGCGGCGCTGGATTTCTGGGGACCTGGCACCGCCGCGGGGTCAGTCCACCTCGGACAATCCTTTCACGGCCCATTAACCCCGCAATGCTACCCTGTCCCGTCACGTAACACACCCGGCGACTTTCGACGAATTCCGCGAAAATTGACTAAAACGCACGCAAGAACATTTTTGTCCCATCGGTCTGAAACACAAACGTTATATAAAAACCGGGTCCTGTTTCCCGTTAAAAGGCTTCTATCATTTGCAAGTATCGATTGTACGCACGCCGCAAACCACGGTTGTCCGAAACGATTCGTGACGGGGCTGCTGCGCGAACTCGCAGGAAGCCTATGTTATTCGAACTTTAAATTGTACTGTAAATTCTCCCTGATTGACGCTCAAATTGTACACAAAAATGAACAGTTTGTTCACATTTAATTAAAAATACCTAATTTAATTGTCCACTTTTGTGCACAATCTGAGCGTCAATTGTTCCTCAACTTCTAAACAGAAATGGACAATTCGGGAAGAGGAGATACAAAAAACGAGCCGCAAGGCTAGAGTAATCGTATCTTGGACCAAATTGTCCACTTTTGTTTACAAACTGAGGGACAATTGGTGAAATTTACTACAACTGGGTGGGAATAGAACCATGCAAACGAACCATTATCATCAGAACTTGAGAAGGTAGCGTTGTAGGTGTAACGAGTGAATCTCTATTATCCGAATATTATTATTTACATACATCATTATTATTTATTATTATTTATATATATATTATTATTTATTGTATCCAAACTTAGAAACATAATAGAACGGAGATAGCAGAGTTGAGACTTTATTATCGTAATTGGCCCATCCCCTAGATTCTACATATATCGTCGCTGTAAACCGATTCAAATTATTAAAGAAAGATAAGTCATTTTGATCCTGTTTCTTCTCGCGTTTTGCACAGCGAAATTCGCAGTCCAGCGGATCACTATGCAAATTTCTGTTTTCGCGTTCCATAAAAGACTACAATGTGGCTTAATAGTACCTAACGAATGAACCTCCGTTATCCAGGCAAGATTCTGCTATGCTATTGTCAACTAATTATAATTATTAAAGTAAGTTTTAAAATCTTTTCAGAGTGCAAATTTTAACGACACGTTTTTATAAAATGCTACGTCTACTAACTTTTATAACGATTAATAATGGGGCGTGATAGTTGTCGCCCGGTGCGATAATATTATCGGTAACAATAGCCGGTTTTCTATGAAAACAAAACAATATGGACGGTGATACGGAGCAGTGAGTCATTAGGAAAATTGTCGGATCGGTTTGCCAATGGGTGTTCGTCTTGGCCAGTGACCTTGGACGGCCTCGAACCTCGAAAGTCATTGTACTAAGTCTTAATTCATTCAATTACGGGGTATGCAAAGAGATATATTATTCCAGTTGAGTAAAAACTGGATCTTGTTGATGACTGTCTCTCCCGGCGGCCTTGAAATGTTCCTTGACCCTTCAATCTGCAACCGGAACAATGTCATTTGCCGGATGTTCCCAGCAATGCTTTTTTCCCTTTTCTTTCTTTTCACTCCCTCCTCTCTCTCTCTCTCTCTCTCTCTCTCTCTCTCTTTGTCTCTGTCTGTCTGTCTGTACTGTGACGCAGATCTCGTCCTTTGTCAGTGAAAGTGGAAGAATTATCACAGGTGATCCACGCGCAAAATGCCACGAACCTGGTAAACCCGCACTTTTATGGGACAGGAATTCGCATGGTCACTTTCTTTGAATGGCNGAAAATTGACTAAAACGCACGCAAGAACATTTTTGTCCCATCGGTCTGAAACACAAACGTTATATAAAAACCGGGTCCTGTTTCCCGTTAAAAGGCTTCTATCATTTGCAAGTATCGATTGTACGCACGCCGCAAACCACGGTTGTCCGAAACGATTCGTGACGGGGCTGCTGCGCGAACTCGCAGGAAGCCTATGTTATTCGAACTTTAAATTGTACTGTAAATTCTCCCTGATTGACGCTCAAATTGTACACAAAAATGAACAGTTTGTTCACATTTAATTAAAAATACCTAATTTAATTGTCCACTTTTGTGCACAATCTGAGCGTCAATTGTTCCTCAACTTCTAAACAGAAATGGACAATTCGGGAAGAGGAGATACAAAAAACGAGCCGCAAGGCTAGAGTAATCGTATCTTGGACCAAATTGTCCACTTTTGTTTACAAACTGAGGGACAATTGGTGAAATTTACTACAACTGGGTGGGAATAGAACCATGCAAACGAACCATTATCATCAGAACTTGAGAAGGTAGCGTTGTAGGTGTAACGAGTGAATCTCTATTATCCGAATATTATTATTTACATACATCATTATTATTTATTATTATTTATATATATATTATTATTTATTGTATCCAAACTTAGAAACATAATAGAACGGAGATAGCAGAGTTGAGACTTTATTATCGTAATTGGCCCATCCCCTAGATTCTACATATATCGTCGCTGTAAACCGATTCAAATTATTAAAGAAAGATAAGTCATTTTGATCCTGTTTCTTCTCGCGTTTTGCACAGCGAAATTCGCAGTCCAGCGGATCACTATGCAAATTTCTGTTTTCGCGTTCCATAAAAGACTACAATGTGGCTTAATAGTACCTAACGAATGAACCTCCGTTATCCAGGCAAGATTCTGCTATGCTATTGTCAACTAATTATAATTATTAAAGTAAGTTTTAAAATCTTTTCAGAGTGCAAATTTTAACGACACGTTTTTATAAAATGCTACGTCTACTAACTTTTATAACGATTAATAATGGGGCGTGATAGTTGTCGCCCGGTGCGATAATATTATCGGTAACAATAGCCGGTTTTCTATGAAAACAAAACAATATGGACGGTGATACGGAGCAGTGAGTCATTAGGAAAATTGTCGGATCGGTTTGCCAATGGGTGTTCGTCTTGGCCAGTGACCTTGGACGGCCTCGAACCTCGAAAGTCATTGTACTAAGTCTTAATTCATTCAATTACGGGGTATGCAAAGAGATATATTATTCCAGTTGAGTAAAAACTGGATCTTGTTGATGACTGTCTCTCCCGGCGGCCTTGAAATGTTCCTTGACCCTTCAATCTGCAACCGGAACAATGTCATTTGCCGGATGTTCCCAGCAATGCTTTTTTCCCTTTTCTTTCTTTTCACTCCCTCCTCTCTCTCTCTCTCTCTCTCTCTCTCTCTCTCTTTGTCTCTGTCTGTCTGTCTGTACTGTGACGCAGATCTCGTCCTTTGTCAGTGAAAGTGGAAGAATTATCACAGGTGATCCACGCGCAAAATGCCACGAACCTGGTAAACCCGCACTTTTATGGGACAGGAATTCGCATGGTCACTTTCTTTGAATGGCTTCTTCCCGTCTTTTTCACGACCGCGTGATTAAGTCATTAACCCTGCTGTTCTCCCTGGGTCTACATTATGACCCGAAGTGAGATTTACGTTTCCAAGGATCCCGCGTTTCTACATATTTCGTTCATTTATAGAGGACGAGTCGTGTAACTTGCACTCGCCGAATAACATTTGAATTATACAACCAATTGAAAAGTGTTGAATGCAATCGTTGTAGTATTTTAAGGGATGAAGGTGACGTCGCATTCACCTTTTTTTACACATAGTGTAGTTTCCGAAATTTCGAGAGCAACTTCGCCTTCTTTATATGGGAAGAATATTAAACTTCATTAAATTTTAAGTAGAAAAGTCTATAATATTTATGTACTTAACAATTTTTATATTTACTGAATAAATATGATATTTCTTACATTTAGAATACAATGTTGAACGAATAAATCCAGAAATCCAAATAAAGTGACAACCTTTGTTCGTCGTGTCACTATGACCCAGCGGAAACGAATGCGAGGCATAAAAGAACCAACCACTGAACCTTTGGTTTTATTATATTAAAAATTATATTATATTATTTATATTATAATATTATATTATATTATTATATTTAAAATTTAATTATAATAAATTTCTACAATAAATTTATATTATATCAGATTTTAATAGAAGTTTAAAAAGAAATTTTTAAATATAATCTCGATTTTTAATAGAAATTTTGGTAGCAAAAAAGAGGTAATTGCTTTTAAATTGAACAATGCGCTGAGGATGGAGCAACGGCTTCATTGAACATTTTGAATGTTCAACTGGCTGAAGACAATACTATTATGTAATCATACTAAAATGTTCAGCATAAACAAATTCTTTGTTCGGTAGTTTATAAATATATTTATTTTGCTTTTTATTTTGCATGGTTATATACGGTGTTTCTGGAATTGAAATATATTTAAAATTTTTATCGCGCAACGGCTTGATAAAAAATGTGAATCTTTTTACTGCATTAAGACAGCGCTATTACTGTCATTATACGAAAAGCGACAGCTTGAACAAATTTTTTGTTCACAAGTTATAAGCATATTTATCCGAAACTCTTTCGTTTCGTTGCGCAACTGCCTAAGATAAACGGTCCTCCGCAAAAACACTTATAGTATACGAAAGTTTTTATGTCAATACTTCGTATTATTGTCTTGATACAGTAAACAAAAAAAATTTCTGTCGAATCGCTACGTTATAAAAAACGTTGAGGTTTCAAGAACACAAATTCGTATTTTCGTAACAAACGGCAACGATGCTTTGGGGCCGAACGATCGGTCGTGAATTTTGAAAGAATCTATCGCTCCGTTATAAAACAGTATAAGAGGAGCTTTATGTACATACCGGAAGCGGCAGCACGTTTCGTGTGAATAACGAAAGAAACGGCATATATTCGACGCACGCCTGATTCTTTATCGCCCTTACATAAGCACTGTCTAAAGTACGGCAAGGTCTCGGTTAACGCTCGCTGTACGATCATAGAATTTCAAGTGTTAAACGAAACAGAGTTCAACACGGCCGTTTTAACGCCGACGGTGAACACGTGGCAGGTGAAAGGAAAATTTCAAAACAGAATAATACCGCCTTTTCACTCGACGACATTGTCCGTTGTATGGCTTTCC